GAAGACTTGATGACCTAATTGCAAAATTACTACAGGAAAAAATAAAAGAGATACAGCCTTCCGCTCCTGTATATGATAAACATGACCCCTGAAGAGCTGAAGGTAAAGCAAATCATGTTCTTAAATGAATTCATGGAAAGATCCTGAATAAATTCCCCTTCCTATCACACTCTTCCTTTGTAGGCTAGGGACTAAGCGCTTCATCAAAGGCAAAACAGAGCCAACATTTGCCTGGTTTAATGAGTTCATTAGCTGATAAAATTGCACAATGTAAAAATCTTGCTGGGTTGAATATTTCTGAAGCAGCACCTAGCAAAAATTAGGACGAGGCTTAATTTCAACAAGCCTCTGGCATGCTACTTCTCATAAATGCCTAACTATTAAGATTTGAGGATTGGAAGGGTGTGGCTTTGTGATACAACGCTTGCCTAGCATAAATGAGGCCTTGGGTTCCATCCCTAGCACTGCAAAAAAAATAGTTTGTGTGTCTATATGTATAAGTAAACAAATATATTGTATGCATGCATGTGTAGGTAAATATACTAGTATTTACATTAAGCTTCTAAGGAACCAAAAGGCAAAGCAAACTTTCTAGCTAGTATTCTTCCTGTAAAAAAATATATACCTATTTTTTAACATGGCAGGTAACTCATAAACATCCTCTGCCCCAGGATTTTAACACATGATACAATAAACCTACAGGATTATAAAAGGCACTCCCCTACTGTCCCAAGGTCTGAAGTCTGTCTACATATGCCATGTCTGCCTCCCTCCCTGTCCTATTGTGTACTACCCTGACAACCACCCTCTTGTCTCCTTTCCCCTTGCCTTCTGCAAGTGTCACACACATTGCTATCTTCATGTTTCTATAGGAGGGACCTTCTTCCTTCTTCATATTTTCCTCCTCTGATTCTATTTTAAAACCCCAGTGCAGCCAGGCACCAATGGCTCACCCCTGTAATCCTCGCTAACCAGAAAGCCCAGATCTGAGGATCAAGGTTTGAAGACAGCCTGGGAAAGTCCATGAGACTCTTTAATCACTGAGAAGGCTGGAGGTAGAGCTGTGGCTCAAGTGACAGAGCACTAGCCTTCAAATCAATCAGCCACAGCTCCATGACTGACCAAAAAAAAAAAGCTCAGGGACAGCCCTGAGTTTCAACCCCAGGACTGGCACCAAAACAGAAACAAAACAAAGAACTGTGTAGAGAAGAGAAATAGGTGGCAGGTGTGGCACTTCATCTGAGGCCTTTCCTAAAGACTGCTGAAATGGCTCCTATGGCAGGGATCTAGGGAAACTGTGTCCATAACAGGGCCATGGCAGCATTTTTTTGTTTCTGGTTTGGTAGGGGGGCGTTTTTGGTCAGTTGTAGGGCCTGGGCACTGTCCTTGAGCTCTTCAAGTAATCTACCACTTGAGCCACAGTGCCACTTTCAGTTTTCTGGTGGTTAACTGGAGATAAGGTTCTCATGGACTTTCCTGCCTGGGCTGGGTTTGAACCCCAATCCTCAGATCTCAGCCTCCTGAGTAGCTAGGATTACAGGCGTGAGCCACTGATGCCTGGCTGGTGGCAGCTTTTGCTTTCCTTTCAGGTCAAACCAGCAATTCGCTTCTTATTTTCTACCATGAAGTTAAGTTGATTTAGTATGATCAAGCAAGCCAGCATAAAGTGTATGAGCACACAACTCTCATTCCCAGGTATTTCCCCAAGATGTCTTCAGAAAAACCCTACTTCTAATTGGTTGATTTTATTATCCTGGTTAAAGACAATTATTGTTTCTGAAATAATAAACTAACAATAATAACAATAAAGCTCCTGATAAAGACTCTCATCTTCTCATGCCCAGAAAATTAACAGATTAAGATTCATCTCTAGTGATAATGAACAGCCCTACTTTCATACCCTGTCCAACTGATTGCCCAAGAGATGACCTAAAACTCTCAGTTCATGTCAATCAAGCTGAGAAATGCACATGACAGAGTGGTGGGCAATAAAAAACCAAAATAAAAATTTTAAAAAAGATCTTCCAATCTCAGCCTTCAAATAACTGTCACTAAATGTACTAAACATATTTCTTAATCATAAAATAAGACCGAAGCCAGGTGCTGGTGGTTCACACCTGCCCCTTGCTACTCAGGAGGCTGAGATCTCAGGATCCTGTGCTGGAAAGTCTATGAGACTCTTAACTCCAATTAATCACCAAAAAGCCAAAAGTGGGGCTGTGGCCCAAGTGACAGTACACTGGCCTAGAGCAAAAAAGCTCAGGGATAGCGCTCAAGCCCTGAGTTCAAGTCTTAGTACTGGCACCAAAGGAAAAAAATGGCCTAAATTATGGGTGAAATAGTGGTGGGAAAAATGGAAAGAATGATAGAAAGGGTGACACTGATCAAGATGCATTGTCCTCATGACCTGACTTATGAAATTGTAACCTTTTTGTACAACTACTTCATAATAAAATTTATTTTTCCATAATAAAATTTAAATAAATAAGATTATAGTATTTTTAAGAACTTGTCCAAACCAAGTATATGATGACATACAACTATGATCCCAGCAGTGATGAGGCTAATAAAGGAGGAGCTAGAACTCAAGACTATCTGGATATATAGAGAATTCCAGGCCAACTTGGGCTACATAGAGAATTCAATATTACTGAGGGCTATATAGAAAGACCCGATCTCAAAATCAACCAACTATCCAAATGTGTATATAATAAAGCAATAATGATAAATAGGGTTATATATTATCTATTCCCAAGAAATAGTGCCCTGAGACTTCTGATAAAAACAAAAGCAAAAAGAACTGCCATCTTATGAGATTCAAATTTTTACAAAGTCTATTTAGTTATATATTCCCAGTAGCCATGAAACTCAATCAGTGCCCTGTCAATAAAAGCATGGCTAGGCCAACCAGATGTTTCTTACGGGTGTGAAATGACGCTACATGCTAATGCTCTGTAGAAAAGATCAGTGATATCCATTACCTCTAAATAGGCCTTTTAAAAAAGTAAATCAAATTGTCTTTATCTCACATAAATAAAAACAAAATTCTAAATAACACTTAGAATTTTCTCAAAACTGTGAAATTCAAAGTTTTCCACTCATATATAATTAGCACATGAAGCACTACAAAATACACACTTAAGCAGGGCTCAGGTGGCTTAAGCCTTTAACCCTAGCTACTCAGGAGGATGAGATTTGAGAAATGCAGTTTCAAGCCAGCCCAGGTAGAAAAGAGAAAAGACTCTTATCTTCAATTAACCACTAGAAAACTGGAGGTGGAGCTGTGGCTCAAAGTGGTAGAGCACTAGCCTTGAGCACAAAAGCCCAGGGACAATACCCAGGCCCTAAGTTCAAGCCACACAACAACAACAACAACAACAAAAACAAAACACTCCACTGAGCTATCAAAGATAGGAATTTAGATAGGGCAAAAAATTATTTGTAATTTAAATAATTTTTAAAATACTATTAGAAATAATAGACTGTTCAAGTGAGTCAATTATTTTGAAAAGCAAAATTCTTCTTGTGCTTGAAGTAAGTTGGCCGTCTGTAAAAGCTGCTTCTGAGAAAGGTGTCTATAATCGAACTACTCAGGAAGCTGAGAGTAAGGATCATGGTTCAAAGTCCAAGCAGGAAAGTCCATGAGACTCCTACCACCAATTAACCAGCAAAAAAATAAATCCAGAAGTAGAGCTTTGGCTCAAGGAGTACAACATCAGCACTGAAAAAAAAGAAAGCTAAGAGGCAACACCTAGGCCCCAAGTTTAAGCCCCAGGACAGGCATAGTAAAAAAAAAGGAAGAAAGAAAAGCTAACCCTGCTAGCCACATAGCAGATATTGAAAAGTATCTAAAATGACCTTCATGTATAAAAGACTTACAGTTAGGACTTTGGTGTGTGCAATAAAGTAATACCATCAGGCTACTGTGGTGCCTGAATCCCATAAAGTTAAGTCAAGTTGTATGTAGCAAACATGGGAGATATCTCACTATGTTTCTCAGGCTGGTCCTGAACTCCTGTTCTCAAGAGATCTTCCCATCTGAGCCTCTTAGTAACTAGCACTAACCCTGCAAAACAAGGATCTGCTTCAGCAGTATGCATTATATCCATGGAAGAAGACAACATTCAAGTCCACTGTAGTAGGAGCAAATGACTGGTCATACCTAACACCTGTGTTTGCCACATCATGTATTTTTAATAGGGGTTTGTTTGTTTAGCATGTCCTCAAGAATAAAAAAAAATATTCTGACTATAAATCAGTATCTCCATCAGAGCTGTCAGTTAAAGTAGAGACAAAAGGAAGATCCAGGCAGTTAAAATAGAAATTTGGAAAATGTAAACTAACTCGTTTAAAAATGTTTTAAAAATTTCTACCTTTATTCATATTTACATCCTGCAAATTTACTTTTATAAATCAGACTGTCAAGATTATAAACATTGCCTGAGAATTTGCTATAAATTATTACACAGTATATTCTCTGAAAATAAATTCTCACATATTAAATAGAAATTTCTTTTTCTTTATCTAGAACATGAAGTAGTCCATATTCTTTATAACAATCAGTATGGAAATCAATGCAAACATGAAAACAAAGTACTCTGTATTGTTATTGAGGTTCTGTATTCTGACAATAGCTCACAGAATGACCTTTGAAATTAAGCTGAAAGGTCGATAATGTGAATATATTTTTATACCTAAGCAATTTATATATATTATGTATTCGAAAAATACACAAAAGATGACAACTATGCCAAGTATATCTAGTTTACAAAAAGTGAAAGATAGTAAAAATATGAAAATAGTAATTACATGAAATAGTACCATATAGTAGCATTATAAGAGTGCTTTGCCTTTACTAAAAGTTATTCATTGTAGTTTGGTCATATACATAAAACCATTATATATTCTTTAGTTATATCAAGTAATACTAAAAAATAGAACTTTTAAATAAACCCACTATAGGTTTTTAAACTTCCTGTTAAGTTCAAATATCCACATACCTGAGCCAACCTCCTTCTCTTCTTCTTCAATGTTGTTTTTGATGCTGTCATATTCCTCATCGATGGTCTGGTTACCACGCATCTGAGACAATATTCTACGGGCCTTCTGTGTCTGTCCTTTCTGAATTAGCCACCGAGGACTTTCAGGCAAAAAGAGAAAGCCAAAGAACTGTATAACTGCAGGAATTGCTGCAAGTCCCAACATATACCTGGAACAAGAAATTCACACTCATGTAAGTACTCAGTCAATCTTTACCACACATTTTTGTTTATGTTGATCACAACAATATCTAATGTTTCTTTTTGCCATATATTATATGCACACATACCTCAAAATAGGTATTTTCATACTGAACTAAAAATCAAAAAATGAGAAAAATCTAATACTCCTCTCATATAAATTACCATAAAATAGGCAAAAGTCACCATTATAAATACATATTCTGAAACAAAGACATAAAAAACACCAATGTAGCTGAGTACCATTGGCTCATGCCTGTAATCCTAGCTACTCAGGAGGCTGAGATCTGAGGATTAGTTGTTTAAAGTCATCCAGAAGAGAAAAATCCATGAGACTTTTATCTCTAAGCAACAAAATGGCTGAAAGATGGGAAAACACTGTATCCCAATATATACCTGGATCAATTTTTGTGAATCTATTAAAATAAGTTAGCTGTATATTTTAAGTGGTATATATGTTTTGTGAATTATTTTCTAAACAGAGCTTCTACTTTTATTTTTAAAAAGCTGATCATCATGAATCATTTTATACCAAAGAATTGATCAGACACAAAATCCTAGTAGATTCTACAGGTCACAGTAGATGGATTCTGCTTCAGTTCACAGAGGAAGGTGGATGGATGGGTGAATTGTCTTCTTCCTGCCCCACCTTGCTAATAAAAATCAGTACATCACACACACTAAGCAAGCCCTCTGCCCCAGCTCATAACTGATTGAAATTTAAAATTATTCTCAGCCAGGCACTGGCGGCTCACACCTGTAAGCCTAACTACTCAGGAAGCTGAGATCTCAGGATCATAGTTTAAAGCCAGCCCAGACAGAAATGCCTGTGCCTGTGAGATCCTTACCTCCAATTAACTATCAAAATTCTGGAAATGGATGTGTGGCTCAAAGTAGTAGAATGCTTGTTTTTTTTTTTTTTTTTTTTTTTTTTTTGGCAGGAGCGGTCCGGTTGTGGGGCCTGAATTCTGGGCCTGGGTTCTGTCCCTCAGCTCTTCAGCTCAAGGCTAGCGCTCTACCACTTGAGCCACAGCGTCACTTCCGGCTTTTTTCTTTTTGCTTATGTGGTGCTGAAGAATCGAACCCAGGGCCTCATGAATGCAAGGCAAACGCTCTACCACTGAGCCACCTTCCCAGCCCAGAATGCTAGTCTTGAGCACAAAAGCTCACAGTGCCCAAGCCAAGAGCTCAAGCCCAGGACTGGCACACATACATACACACACACTCAACATAGGGTTGCTATGGTTGAGATAAGTATCCTGTAAAGGCCTTGGTTGCCAGCCTATGACACTATTGGGAAGTGACAGACCTCTAGGAAGTCAGGCCTGATAGAAGGAAGTTAGGTCACTGGGTATATGCCCTAGAGACACTGGGATCCCAGTTCCTTTCTCCTGATGGCCATTCAACATGCATAACCATTTCCTTCACAACATGCGCCTGCCATAATATACTATCACACCATAATCTCTAAGGAACAGACCAACAGAGCATGGCCTAATACTTCCGAAATTGTGAGTCAAAATAAATCCTGTGCTCACAGAAGTCAGGTTGTTGTTTTGGTTTGTTTTGTGCTAGTCCTGGTGCTGGCACTCAGGGCCTGGGTCCTGTTCCTGAGCTTTTTCGTTCAAGGTTTAAGAATTCAGTTTTTTAAAGTCAATTTAATTGTACTTCTCAACCTCAATTTATATTGTATTATAACAAACTTTAGTAGGCCTACTAAAGTACCTGTCATAGAGTAGGTCCTTAGTAAATGTTTTAAGAAGTGATATTAAAGCAGCTCTGTATCTAAACTTTATATATTAGCTACAGAGAAAATTATTGTGATTGATGCAACAACTCTTTTGCATTAGTTAGGTCTGCAAACCTGTTTGCATGGAAATTCCTTTCAGCCAAACTACTATAGACAAAAATCAGACATCCTCTGGGAAAGTCTCTATCTAGATGATAACCTGTGAGGTCAGCTCAAAAAACTACATCTCTTTGGCCTCTTCTCCTCTCCTTTCCTTTGTTAACTACATGACCAAACCTATTATGCAAATGAGTGTTGTACTGCTATAAAACTTGAGAGCCCGCCAGTGGTGGCTCACGCCTGTAATCCTAGCTACTCAGGAGGCTGAGATCTGAGGATCAAGGTTCAAAGCCAGCCCAGGCAGGAAAGTCTGTGAGACTCTTATCTCCAATAAACCACTCCGAAAACCAGAAGTGGCCCTGTGGCTCAAGTGATAGAGCGCTAGCCTTGAGCTGAAGAACTGAGGGACAGCGTTCAGGCCCAGAGTTCAAGCCCCATGACTGACCAAAACACACACACACACACACACACACACATGCACACACACACACATGCACGCACACACACACGCACGCGTGCGCGCGCTCAGGCCTATAATCCTTGCTACTTAGGAGGCGAAGACCTAGATTGAATACCAGCACAGGCAGAAAAGTCTGTAAAAGTCCATTTCCAAAATGCTAAACTGGCAGTGTAGCTCAGTAAGCGAGTTCATGCAAGAGCACAGGGCCCTAATACTGCAAAGAAGACAGAAAGGAAGGAAAGCAAGGAAAGAAAAGGAAGGAAGGAAGGAAAGGGAAGGAAGGAAAGAAAGACAACAGAAAGAAAACTGGCTGAACATCAGCCTAGCATGAGTAAGATTTTAGGTTTCATTCACCAGTCTTTCTCTCTGTCTGTCTGTCTGTCTGTCTCTCGCTCTCTCTGTCTCTCTCCCCCCTCTTGTCCTCTCTTTCTCAGACACACACACTCACACACACACACATAGAATAAAGAACAAAAAGGAAATGATTATCCTATATTGCCCATTACTTAAAAGGAAACACTAAATGGAATAGAATTAAGAAAAAAAGAAAATCCTAAAGATGGAAACTTCCATGTTTCATTTCTCTACAACTCCCATGTCCTTCCTTCAAGAAAATTAAAGATTAAAGAGCTGCAGAGTGATTTAAATGAATACCGGTCCACATTTTCAGGTCCACTTATGCTCGGACCATACATTGTACTTTACTACTATTAAATCCAAAAAAATCAATATTTTTATATTTTTTCATAGGGGAACAAAAACAAGAAAAAATCAAATATACATATTAGCCTATGATTTTGTTTGTTGGGGTTTTCTTTCTTTTCATAGTGCTAGGAAAGCAAACCCAGGGCTTATGAATGCTAGACTTGATTATCAGCCTATCATGCCACTGACAGGTAGCTGCTGTACATTTAAGAGGCAGAGTCTAGTGAGAGGAAGCTATGTCATGGGGGAGGAGGCGTGTTGGCAGAGAGGAGGTTGCAAACAGACTCCTCCTTATCTTTCTTTGCTTCACAGCTGCCATATGATGAGCAGACTCCTCTGCCACAGTTTCTGCCATTATGTCTGACTCAACAGGCCAACTGATAACGGACTGAAACATCCAAAGCTGGGAACTAAAATAAACCATTTCTCCCTTACTTTCTCTCCCTTCCCCTGGGTGCATGAACTGTCTCTTAGGTTTCTTGCTCAAGGCTAGTTGCTCCATCACTTGAACTACATCTCCACTTCTGGCTTTTTTGCTGTTTAATTGGACATAAGAGTCACAAGAGCTTTCCTGCCTAGACTGGTCTTGAACCATATCCTCCTGAGGACTAGGATTACAGGAGGGAGCCACCTGCTCAAGACTCAACCATTTATCTTTTTGAGTTTCTTACAGTAACTGAAAGCCAACTAATACTTCAGGTCAGGGTATGTTAACGAGAAAATTCTTGTCATGTTGCTCAACATATTTCTTTCATTTTGATGTTCAGGCTGGGAAACATGAAGTATAAATCAGAGGCTGTTTTGCTGTAGTACTGAGGAAAAACTAACATGAGATTCAAAGGAGCAGACTGATATAAACTGAACTGAGCAGTACTGAGAGACAACAGTCTTCAAACCCAAGGAAATCAGGAACCAGATAAAGAATACTGTGATAAACTACAGCAGCAGCCCCTTCTGTTATAGGAAATCTCCTTATTATAAGCTAAAATAAGGATTCTAAACCCTTGCTCCACAGGAGAATCATCAAGGGGGCTTATAAACACACCAGTGTCCAGGTCTACCCTCCCCCAGTATTGTGATTAATTGGTCTGGGCTCCAGGCCCAGGAATTCTATTTTATTAAAATCTCTCCAGGTGGTGCTAATGTGCTCTTGGGGCCAAGAACCACAGACGTTTAAAAACACTCAGGGGGGTAAAAACAGACAACTCCCAAGGGCCATACCTTAAAGAAAAAGACATTTATGTTCTGTCAGCAAGACAACATACCAAGCCGACAAGGGAAAGCAGCCTGCCAGAAGGGAAAAAAAAACATGAAATAAAAAGTCAAGTTCCCAAACGTTCTAAAAATCTTTAGAATATCCTTAGCATCATAATCACTCACTGCAAGATACCTTTTTATGTCCTTCACTAACCTTGAAGTTAAGGTACAACTAGCATGCTCACTGCCTGAATAGCAGTGAACTAAGGAGCAGGCCTTCCAACATGGAGCAATACTTTCAAATGGTGTGGTTTAGTCCAGCAAAGAATGCCAGTCTCACCTCAGGCAAGCCTACTTCACAGTACTAAGAACTATTGCTTTGTGAAACAGAGATCCAGCAACTCTGGGTCTCAGACCTTCTCATGGTAGCTCAGCTGAGCAGATCTGTTCCTGCTACTGCTACTCTACTGCTACTGGTAAGGAATACCCAGGTTCCTCAGGAAAAATCAAATAGGCCCTTCACTAAAAATTTGCATGGCAGAGGTAGGAACGTTGAGCCCATGGGCATTATAAGTCCAATGAAATCATTTCATGTATGACAGGAGACACCTATGTGCTTCTTCTGGGCTGCCCACTCATTGATACCTGACTAAATTATTTTGTGTGGTCCACAAATGTTTAGATTTAAATGGCCCCTGGCAAAGAAAAAGACTCCTGACCTGCAAAATAAAGCATGTTGTTCCAAATATGTAACTTGC